AGATAGAAACCTCATTGAGCAGATGTAAACTTGCGGTGGACAATATAGAAAAACATTTAAAACATTTTTCAGTCACTGAAAAATGCTGGATTGTATACCTGGATTATTGAGCATGGACTTTGTTGTTTTGAAACCAGTTTGACATGACTGTCGACAAGGAAGAGGGCCGGCAACGGAGGAGGGGGCGTGCCAAAGACGCCATCTTAGCACCAACATAACTGGTTTGTTCCACTTTGGAGTAAACTGTTGGGGGAAGAATCAGTTTTGTGTTGTGTGTTTCCTTGACTGATGAAGCCTTTCGGATGGAAGGTGAAACGTTTCAGCACAAAAAAAAAAGAAAGAAACTGTCCAAATGACCTGACTGAAAAATGTTGGATTACTTTACATATTTTACGGTGAAATTAAAATTTTACTTTATTGCACATTTTACATTGATTTCTAGCAGTTTTGCAAATTTATAAACTCAAATTTCAGACAGTTATTATATAATTTTTTGAATATGCATGCTATGATTTGATTTATATTATATTTTTATTTAATTAGTACCACTCTGTAGCAATTTGATTTCACTTTAACAATGAAGAGCATCCTCTGTCTCATTCATTCGTTTCGATATCTCACTGTGGTATACGCCTTCCCTGCGTATTTCTCATAAGCACTTCTCATTACGCCAATCCTGATTGGCTGATTATTGTGACGGCTGCATCACCAACACTTTAAGTAACTAACGAGGTGGAGTCAGGTTCTCCTCTTTGTTGAAACATTTAGTCTTTTATCCAAAAGACTTCTTCAGTCTGAGACGCTGCAACAAACTCAGTCTTATGAGCAGCATCTTCTCATAGTGGGTCAACCAGCCTGCTGGTGACAGCCAGAACTAGTTATGCACATTGCAAAGGGAAGACCATCAGCCTAACAATTGATCATTAATGTCCTGATGGCCGCTTGCTATTCACAGAGGGCTGAGTGATACTAACAATAGAGCCTGACAGGTTGATGTTTGAGACTTTAAGAAAGTTCAATTGTTTTCTGTTAAAAACCACTAGTAAAATATTTTCTATCCTGCTCTGAAGTAAAAGAACACAAAACAATGGAAAAGTACTTCAGTATATGAAACATAATACAAACAGTAATTTAAATGAAATATTACAGTTTTGACTTAGAACGTGCAAACATCTTATTTTAAACAAACTTTTTGTTTAGGTTAGTAGTTCAACTCAGCAGCTTCCAAACTGTGACCTCCCAGTAAGCGTTACACAAAAGTCTGTAACAGATCCGTTCTTACACAATTTTTGTTGCAACAGTCAGATCTTTCGCAAACGTGTTGCGAGCATCAGTCCACACAATGACACACACCTGCGGTTCATCACATGTTATGGTTTATCTAATTTTCAAGTAAATATGCTTCAAGTAACAGCCATCATATGATCTTTTTTTTTTTTTGTTTTAATGTTGTAAAAACAACTTTAATGGAAACCATGTTGCTAAAAGTTGTGCAAGCTTAAAAAACAAACCCTGCAAGGTGGTTATGTACGGTATTTTAAAATGTATGAACTTTATCAGCTTCCCTACATACACATAAATGCCTAAGTGGGATGTACTATTATGAATTAATACTAGTAGTAGTATTACTATTATAAGTAATAGTAGTAGTACTATTATAAGGGTATTATGAAGGTATTTCCCGTCAAGCAGAGTGCATTTTTGTGTCATTAATGTTCAGCAGCAAATGGGTGTGTGTGTTTGACCAGTGAGACTGGGGAGGGAAGTTACTGTAAATTACAAGGTTCACTCAAGTAGGAAGTGCAGGGCTGCCTTCCAGTGTACTCCGGCCGCATAAGGTGAAGGATACTACACGGAGATCGGTAATTTGTTTTTAACTGTTACTTAATATAAATTATAACATTACAAGTAAGTGAATAAAATTAGCGATCTCAGTTATGGTGATTAATTAACTTGTGATTTTTTTTTTTTTTTTTGTCGGACTTTGTTGTTTGGGCAACTAAAAAGTCGGAGCTTTGAGAGCGGCTCTTGAACGCACCTTGAGCTCGCGGTTGGTCAGTTAAGATTCTTAGCCGCGTTGAGACGAAGCTAAACGGAGGTGAATCCGTCTGGACCAACTCCCCCAAAACAGCATGGTAAATAAGTAAATACGTGTTTTTGTTCAACTGTAAAAAAGTGTACATGTTTTAGTCAGGTCCACGTAGTTTGTGTGGTTGCTAAAGCCCACAGGTCCTCCTCGGTTCTAGCAGTTTACCTGAAAAACCAACAAAAAGAAACTTGTAGCGTCGCTACTTGAACTCAGCCTCGAAAGCTTCAGGGTTTATGAGACGCTTTCTGCCTGTGTTCACGTTTAATACCTTGTATATTTGTGTTAAAAGTTGTCCTTTGTGTTTTTTCAGATGTGAATAAGTGCCTTAACTAGTCCATCGAAGAGAGACAAGGTGAGTGAAACTGATCAATCCACGAGTGATGCTTTAGAAAAAGTTTATGTGTCAGTACTTTGGATTAAAGTAAACACACATTTTTAAATTTAGAGGGGCAGGCAACAAAACAAAAAGAGTAATTACACACATACTGAGGATGATACATCCTAAAAACAACAAATGCAAAAAGACCATTCATAAATTAGTAACTTCTTGGACTATATAAATGCACGATAGGATTAAAGAACACCAAAGTCCACGCTCAGTAATCTAAGTATAAAATCCAACAATTTTCAGTCAGGTCATCTGGACGGTTTCCTGTATTATTGCGCATGGACTTTGGTGTTTTGAACCAGTTTGACATGACTGTCGACGAGGAAGGAGGGGGCGTGCCAATGACGCCATCTTAGCACCAACATAACTGGTTTGTTCCACTTTGGAGTACGCTGTTGGGGGGAGAAGCAGTTTTGTTTGGCATTTCCTCAGACTGATGAAGCCTTCTGGATGGAAGGCGAAACATCTCAGCACAAAAAAAAATGAAACTGTCCAGATGACCTGACTGAAAATTGTTGGAGGATTAAATAAGAATTCTAGAATTCTTCTAGAATTCTTATCGTTCTAGAATTGCGCCGCTCCAGGTGGCTGCATGTTGGAGCAGCTCTGTTACTTTCATTCAGAGATTTTACTTTTGGAAACTGTGATTCCTCTTTTTCTGGATGTGGGTCGTGTTTTTTGGATGATTGTTTCCTCTGGTATCAGATGCTGTGCAGCTGGAAGGATTTTTATTGAAACTTTTTTTAGTTTTGGACATTTGTTATGATGCGTAACCATGGCAACAAGGCAGTTATCTACAACCAACAGCAGCTGATTAACATCTCAAAAGCTCAAATAATATCTCAACTACAGCCACAAATCTCAAATGAGTTGAAAAGGATGTTCTGTGGACGCATTCTCATCTACCTGCCAGCTGTGCTCAAGTGTCTGACCATTGAGATCCTGGAACTAGCAGGAAACACGGCTCATGACAGCAGAAGGACTGGATCATCCCTCGGCACCTACAGTTGGCTGTCCGCAGTGACGAGGAGCTCGCTGGGAGGAGTGGCTATCGCTCTGGGAGGAGTTCTGCCCGGCATTTGGGCGGTCCTACAGCCCGGGGGAACCGAGAGGCCAGCCGAGTCTGGGTGGACGGATCAGACGGTATCTGCAGCCAGTTTCTTAGGATCCACTGTGGGATGAACCTTTAGAGATCCTTCCAGTCTACAGCCATCAGTATCTTTAACATCTCTTAATGAAATGAGGATAAGGAGTTACTACAACAAATAATTTCCCTCTGGGATTAATAAAGTATTTTTGAATTTTGAATTGAATTGAATTGAATAAGGCGTGGGTGTTTATAAACCTTTCATTTATTAAAACAATAACACTTTGGGTTAGAGATGCACGATATTATCGGCATGGTATCGACCAATATTAGCGATTAAGTTAAATATTGGACATTTCATCAAAATACCTCACCAATATAAAAGGTGTTTTATATATATA